CCTTCCACAGTGGTTGCACCATTTTACATTCCCACCAATAGTGAATAAGGGTTCCAGTTTCTCCACAACCTCACCAGCATTGCTGTTCTGTTTAATTTTGCTATTCTGACTGGGGTGAGATAATATCTCATAGTTGTTTTGATTTGCCTCTCTCTTAGAGCTAGGGATTTTGAACATTTCTTCATGTGCTTGTTGGCCATCTGATTGTCTTCTTTGTTGAAGTGTCTATTCATATCCTGTGCCCATTTTTCTGTTGGATTATTTACCTTTATCTTGTTGTGGTGCTCAAATATTTTATAAATTCTGTATATAAGTCCCTTATCTGACATGTCATTACCAAACACTTTTTCCCAGTCTGCGGCTTCCCTTTTTACCCTGTTGGAGAAGGTTTTGGATGTGCATAGGCATTTGATTCTTAGAAGGTCCCATTCATCTATTTTATCTTCTCCTGGTTAGTTGTTAAATGCTAAATAAAATTTGTGTAATCTATTAAGCAATTTGTCTTTGTATTACCATGGTTCATAGCCATATTAATTTATTATGAAAATCTGTTTACTTAAAAAAGGAGATAAAGACAACAAACGAACAAAAATCCAGTTATTTAATAAAATTAACTCCAAACCTGTTCCTGTCATCTGTTCTAACTGGTAGCAGCACTCTGTGTTTTGAGAAACCCATAGAGTTTTCAGTGGCTGTGATCTTTTGAAAGTAGATTGGTAGGACTTTCTTTTGTGGTGTTACTAGGTGGGTTAACATTTAGTTAGTAGCTCCACAGTGAACCATTTGCACCATTCAAGTAAGTCCTGATTAGACAGGAATGGGAAATATACCTTTGATGACACTTTTTACTAAATTCTTGTTATATCAAGCTATGATTTTTTCTATAATCAAGTTGACTGTGACTCATAGTGGGGCTGTGAACACTAGGTTGGACCCTTGTCCTGTCCTGTGTTGTCATCGCAGTCTCTTCCATGGTACAGCCTATTGTTACAATTACTGTGCCCGTCTGTCTTGTCTTCTCTTTCTTTGACCCTCCATCTTCATCATTATGATGTCTTTTCCAATGACTGCCCCCTCCCATCAGTATACCCCAAGTATGTGAGACAGTTTCACCATCCTTGCCTGTTTCCTCCAAAATAGATTTGTTTATTTGTATGATCATCCATGGAATATTCTGCATTCTTCACCAACACCACAATTCACTTTGATTGTTCTTCTGTCATCCTTTTATTCATCCATAATGTCACCTGTTATTCATTGTTCAACTTTCAGATGCAAAGGAAGCAATTGAAAAGACCATGGTTTGAGTTGTTGTTATTGTTTTCAGGTGCCATAAGTATGACTCATAGCAGCCCTATGAATAACAGATCTGAACCTTGTCTTATCCTATGCCATCCTCACAATCTCTGACGTGTTCAAGCTCATTGCTGTAGTCACTTTCCCATTCTATCTGGCTGACGATCTTCCTCTCTTTTGCCGACCCTCCACCTTTCCAAACATGGTGTTCCTCTACAAGGAATAGTCTCTCCTAGCAACATGATTTAGATTATGTGCAACTTAGTCTTTAAACTGACATCCTTGATCTTTGCACTTTGGAAAGGTCCTTGGCAGCAAATTTTTGTTTAATTGAACAGAGTACCTGCAGAGCTTCTTGGCATAATGTGTACAAATGCTATATGCCATTATTTCTAGTTCTCTGTTCTCTTAACTGTTTGACACCTCACTTTATCCTCTATATTTTATTTTTTTTGTGTTTGTTTGGTTTTGGGTTTTGGGGGTTTTTTTTTGCCTATGAAATAAAAAAATGCCAAGGACTTAATAAAAGTATTACTAAATTCACCTTATTCTTCATTGGATTGGCCAACAATGTTTTAATTGCACCAGTAATGTTTTAATAGGCCAGTAATATTTTAATGGAAGATTTTATGATTTCTGTATTAAATATTATTTTGACAAAGCCAGTACTACAGTTTGTTGATGAGAGAATGAAGCATTTTTGAGGTGATAAAAGCTACAGGTCATACTTCTTAGAAAATTGTGTATTGACGTATTCAAACAGCATTTTATATATGTGTTTGAATATTTTCTTGAAATCTACATATTTTTTGTGAAACTCAGGTTAAGAGCTCTATAGAAACTGTATGCTGGTGGTGGTTCCCTTCTGAATGTAGTTTGTTAAAGAAGAGAGAAAAGGATTAGGATTAGACAAGACTTTGAAGAGAAGGATGGACGGCTCCATTTTTCTTCCATCTTGAGAATAATATATGTGTGATTGTGCTTATATGTTTATAATAAATTGAAGCAATATGATAGCACAAAAATGTCTTTTAAATCCTATCTCATCTTTGTGTATTAGATAATGTTTTGTCTAAGGGAAGCAGAAAAACCTACCTTTGAACATTATTCTGATCAATAGCTTTGCTTTTATTTTTGTTATTTTGAAGCCACACAAAAGGGGTTTTTTGACAACTGAGACTAAAGATTTTCAGTCAAGTAGGTATTTATTGTCCATTTACATACTTTAAGAAGGTAATTTTGATTCCTTCAGCAGCTTTTAGAAATCTTTTATTTAACTTACTGGAATTGTAAAAAGAAATTGGTACATTATAGTTTAGAAAACAAAAGTAATGAACCAAAGTAGAAATCACACTTCTATTTCCATTAATCACGTAGCAGCACTCCTGTTATTTTCCTTATAGCTATTTGAGGCCTTTTCACATGTAAAATGTGTGTGATATATTTTAGCAAACAAAAATTGAAAAGATTCTTGGATAAACAATATCTGAATATAGGGGGTTTAAAGACTTGACAAAATATCGAAGTTGGACAGACTAAGTTTAATTGTATACGAGGTCATTGAGAAGGGCAAAATGAGTCATACTAAGGTCAGCTAGTCTTTAATCAGTAAAAGTATTCTTGGGTCAGTGTCTGTGGAACACTATTGTTAACTAGATATTTATTTGGAGATAATTGAGAGAAGGAAATGCTTTTTGCAAGGCTTGGTTATTTCTTTATGTTTGGGATAGGTTCAAATGGAAAAAGGATGCCTAGGCTCTCTTTAGCATCTCTACAGCAGGAATGGCAAGTGGAGTCTTCCTTATTGCCCATCTGTGATTGATTAATAGTAGGTCTTTTGTTGAAAAAGATTCTAAAACATACTCAGGGCTTCAGAAAGTATTATCTATCAATGTCTACACAGACATCAGAGTGAATAGTTGCAAATATAAATGTCATGCCTTTCTGTGTTGACTTTTTAAGTTCTACAAAAATTAAGGATGCATCTTTCTCTACTGCCTATGTTTTCCAAAAAAATCTTTGAGTAATATATACTATATAAAAAATATATAAGTAATGTTACTTATGGAGGTTTCTTGAATTCTACTTAAGTCTACATTTTTCTGGTAGATTTTCGTTTAGGCATCTATAAAATGTCCTTTCCTAATCAAGATTCAGATTGTGAAAACATTATATAAATGATTATTATGAAAATAGAGCAGAATAGTGAAATGATGGAAACTTAAGAAATGGCAAATCTATGGAGATAGTACTTGTTTGTTAGCTTTAGTTTATACATTGTATATTTGATCAGTTATAAATAACAACAATATCCTTTCCAAAATGGAAAGGTATCAGTTGGGAAAATGGGTTTTTTTTTGCGTGTGTTTTTTTTTACTGCTTGTATTATTTTCAAAATTCTTGTTCTGACATTGCTTTTTAGGGAGAAAGTTGTACATTGTCATCAGCATAGTTCTTCTCTTCTTATAGGTTGATGAGAAAGCTCTGAAGCACATAACAGAAATGGGCTTCAGTAAGGAAGCATCAAGGCAAGCTCTTATGGATAATGGCAACAACTTGGAAGCTGCATTGAATGTACTTCTTAATAGCAATAAACTGAAGCCTGTTACGGGTCCACCTCTGAGAGGTATTGTGTATTAAACAGTGTTCCAGTACTGTTTGCTTTTCAAAGGAATGTAAATCTAGACAGGTTGGGAGTTACTGTTATGCTGGCTATAACTTTATTTATGGTGGAATAAATACCTATTTTGGAACCACAGAGACCTGTACAAGTTATTCTGAATCTCATGGTCTTCACCTTAGTGTAAAGTGTCTCTGTTAATGACCTACTTCACAGGATTGTTGTGAGGAACTGAAAAAGTATAAAGTATCTAATTCTGTTTACTTCTAAAAAGTGTAACTATTGTATGCATAACTAAACTTTCCGTATATACCACAAAACTCACATGAGCAGTTTTACTTGTTTGTGTCATTCTTTAATTATTGTTTGCTCAAATGCATTTTGTGTATGATGTTTTCTTTAAAATCCTAACCTCATAATTTTTTCTTTTAAAAATTGATAATTACAAAAATACTTTATAAGGATAAAACCGCAACTTATAAAATGAGCAAATTCACCTTCTGGACAGATCACTTGGAAGTTTAAAGGTATTGTAATATAGTCAATTAGAGGGCTTTTTATTCAAGAAGATGGAGAATATTTTAAAAAGCCATGAAAAGTATAAATACAAAAGTCTGCTTAAGATGACTATTGCTCAGAATGATTTGCTGGCTTTATTACAGCCCTGTTATGTCACTTTTTGATTACAATAAAAGTTTTCAGTAAACTTTAAAAAAAAAGATGACTATTGCTTATATATTAGTGTATTTTCCATCTTTGTTCTTGTACATACAGTATGAATATCTTGCTTTTAATCTTAAGGTAAAGGAAAAGGCAGGGGGCGAGTAAGATCTGAAGATGAAGAAGACCTGGGAAATGCAAGACCGTCAGCACCTAGCACATTATTTGATTTCTTAGAGTCTAAAATGGGAAATTTGAATGTGGAAGGTAGGTCAACTCTTTTCTCTGTTAACTATAAAAGAAGAACTCTTGTCTTGCAACTTCAATTCTACATTTCACTGGTGCTCTTCACATGGCTCTGTTTCCAGTTCATGCTTACTGTCTTTGTGTCTAAATTCTTTCTTATAATAAGAAGTGGTTGTTGTTGTTTACCATTGAGTTAGAACTGACTCATAGATGTCCCAGAAGTGAATTTTCAGAGACTGTAAGTTACATGGGAGGAGACTGCTTATTTTTCTTCTGCTGAATGTCTGGTTGATTCTGACCATCTGTCTTTGGGTTGGCTGCACAGCTCTTTATCACTAGGCCACCAGAGCTCGTCAAGGAGGAATTAATATTGTAATTTTTGTTGTTACATGCTGTGGATTAGACTGTGACCCACAGTGACTCTATGAACAATGGCTCTGAACCTTTCCCTATCCTGGCTACCCTCACTGTCACTGACACACTTGACCACATTGCCATGATGACTGTGTCAGTCCATCTCTTCGAGGGTCTCCCTCTTCTGTTCTGACCCTCTACCCTTACAAACATGATGAACTCGCCTAGTGACATGCCTAAAATAATGTCACATAGTTTAGTCACTAGAGTTTAAAATCCTCGTCTTCAAGAAGCAAACTTATTTAATTCTCTCTAGGACAGACTTACTTGTTCTCTTGGCAGTTCATAGTATGTTCAGTTCTTTTCTTCAGCACCACAACTCAAAGGTATCGATTTTTCTTCTGTTATCTTTATTCATTATCCAGCTCTCAGATGCATAGCAAGCAATTGAGAATGCCATGGCCTGAATCAGGCATACCTTACTCTCTACTCTGACATCATTGCTCATTAGCTCTTTGGAGAGATCCTTGACAGTCTGTACATAATGTTGTTGTTGTTGTTGTTGAGTGCCGTCGAGTCGCAGGCAATTCATAGCAACCCTGTGAAGGAGAGTCCTCAACGCTTGGGTGCCTTTCATCCTCTCTCCAGGTTCATAGGGTTTCCGGAGGCAAGCTATTATGGAAGTGGATGCCACTCCTCCTTCCAATTATACATGATAATGAAGCTTATATTTTCAAATAGGATTACTTCTATATGTGTGTCTTATTATTATATGCTGTCCAGTGAGAGCCAACTCATAGGTGAACTGAGTCATAACTGGTTTTGAGAGACTATAAATCGCACTGGAGGAGATTGTGCCTCTTTCTCCTGTGGAGCCACTGGTGGATTCAAACTTCCTGCCTTTGGCTTGACAGTGTAACTCATTACCAGTAGGCCACCAGAGTTCCCTTCTATAGGTGTTGGGATTAGAATTCTAACACTTATTTGGGGACACAGTCTTTGACAATATACTAGTTCTTTTGGTTGTAAAGACAATAAATAGTTTAATCTTAAATTAAAAAAATAATAAATAATATCAGGTGGTTAAATTTAGAAGAGGAAAAGTTATCAAAGGAGATTGAGAAAGATACGAGAGGAGGAGTTGCCCTACAGAATCGATCTCAGTAAAGGATTGGAGTCTAATAACTGACTGGCTGTTAGAATGGTAATGGTGGCGGGAAGTCCTCTTTTTTGCTTTTACATATTTTTGTGGACTAAATAAACCCACCATGATTAACTTTTAAGTTACTAATAGTTTATCTATTGTCTCGCAAACTCCCTGTAAATTTATAAACTCAATTCTGACGAGTTTATAAGCCAGCTCCAGCATATACTGGCATGAATCGTGTCAATGAAGTGGTAAGTTTAGAGTACAAATTGGAGCATATCTCGTGGAGGAGATGTAATATGAACATTAAAGTGATTGTTTTGAAGAAAGTGGTTGGGAAGAAAATATTTACTGTAGCATAATAATGTTATACTAGAGTTTAGGATGATCGGTGATTTTCTTCTTGTCTACTTTACGATAATATATATTAACAGATATATGCCCATAATCCATGGTTTAATAATACTTCTGTTTATATGTACATGCTAGGATTGAGACATAGTTCCTAGATTATACGTTTTAATTTCATATAGAATAAATTTATAGAAGAAATGTGGTTAATACTGGGGGGGAGTATAGCAAAGATTTCTATAATCAGTATAGGCTGTGCTCAATAATATCTACATATATTTTAAATAAAAATTCCACATTTACATAGTTGGGAAAAATTAGTTGAAAATTTTGAAGTGATAAGATGATGTATAAACTGGCTTTAAAATAGGTGTAAATAGGAATATTACCATGTATTATGCTTCCGTCAAAGGAACTTTCTGTGTATATTTTGGGTGTGTTTTCTCACATCCTTTAGGTTTGTTATCAGGAGGGCCCAGTCTATGAAGAAAGACATTCTACTTGGTCGAGTAGAAGGTCAATGGAAAAGGGATACCCACAGTGATATAGTGACATGTTGTTGTTGTTGAATGTCTTTGAGTCCAGCACGACTCATAGCAACCCTATGAACAAAAGGCCTGAAGCCCCTCCACAACTATCAACATTTATCAAAGTTCATAGAGTTTCTAGAGGCATGTTGTTTAATGCCTACAATTATGGGGTTAAGTTTAGCAGGGACTATGAGGATGACACTAAATTAGATAATGTTTCCTTCTAATACATTAGGTCTCTATGAGTTGAGGCCATCTCAGTGTTACCTAATAACATCAAAGGCACTCTGGTGGTCTCGTGATAAGAAGCTGCACTACAATCCTAGAGGCATGTGGTTCAAATCAACCAAATGCTCTTTGGGAGAAAGATGTGCAGTTTTCTCGTGTGCAATTAATTTGTTGTTGTTGTTATGTGCTGTTAAGTCACTTGCGACTTAAAGAAACCCTATGTAGAGCAGCTCTGAAGCCTGTGCTGTCCTGAGCCAGTCTCACAGACCCTGACACACCTACCCCCATTCCTCCATTTACTGTATCTCAGCCGTGGTCTTCCTCTCCTGTGCTGTCCCTCCACTTTTCCAGCATGATGTCCTTCTCCAAGAATCGATCTCTCCTGGCCACATACCCAAAGTATGTGAGATAGAGCTTCAAAATCTTTGCTTCCAATAAGCAGGCCATGGTCTTTTCAATAACTTGTTACGCATCCAAGAGCTGAGCAATGAATAAAGATGACAAAAATAGTTGATGCCTTTGAACTGTGGTGTTGGAGAAAAGTGCTGAATATCCCATGGCCTGCCAAGAGAACAAACAGATAATGTCTTGGAAAAGGTATAGCCAGAGTTTCCTTAAGGGGAGGTACAACAACAGTTCAAAGCTCTTTGAAGGTATCCAGAAGATGAAACAGGATGGGACAGAGTTTAGATGTGTTGTTCATAGAATAACTATGAGACATACTCAACTCAATGACACATAACAACATCACCACCTCTCCTAGCTCTGGCATAACAGTCCACTTCCTTTTAGGCTTTATCACACTGGTATTTATATATTTATTGCCTGATTCTTCAATTATATATAAAGCACCTCAAGCTGTAAAGGTTATGCAATGCTTCATATAGTGATTGGAACAGCTCTTACATTGATACGTAGTCAATCCAAGGTAACTATGAGTTGTAGGTGCTGTCAGCTATGACTCATAGAGACCCTGTGAACAACAGATCTGAATCCTGTCCTGTTCTGTGCCATTATCTCAATCACTGACACATTCAAGCCCATTGCTGCAATCACTTTGTTAATCTAACTAGTAGAGGGTCCTTTTCTTCACTGTCCCCCCACCTTTCCAAGCATGATTTCCTTCTCTAAGGAATAGCCTCTCCTAGCAACATCCCTGAAGTATGTAAGATGAAGCTTCATCACCTTTGATTCCAAGGATCACTCTGGCTGCACCTTCTCCAGGATATATCTGTTTGTGTTTTTAGCAGTCCCTGAGTTATTCAGTACTCTTCTGAACACTGTGGTTCAAAGCATTTTTTCTTCTATCATCCTTATTCATTGTCCAGCTTGCAATAGCATACCAAGAAATTCAAGACTGTGGACTGAATCAAGCGTACCTTAGTTTCCAACTGACATCATCACTTCTCAGTAATTTGGAGAAGTCTCTGACTGCAGACTTTCCTAGTGCAGTATGTCTCCTGATCTCCTGACTGCTGGTACCAAGTGTGTTGATTGTGGATTCAAGTAAGATCAAGTCATTCAGCTACCATGAGGCCACCTATTGGTCAAATGAGTAAAACTGTTAAATACATTCTGTTTGGCATAGGTCATAGCTGCTCCGTTGTCAGGCTAAGATTTAACTTCAAATCAGTCTGATTTTAAGGATTTTTTATTCACTCTTGAGAAGCCAAGTGTACATATATTTTCAAGCTGAATCCTCTTCATAATCCTGTGATAAATAGCTTTACCCAAACATCACAAATAAAAAACTTGGCCTTTTTCATGACCTTGCCAAATTTACATTACAGTGAGAGAGCTATTTACTCATTTTAATTTCATTCTGTTTAAGGAAGTCAGCTTTTTATAAGTTTTTTTGTATGTTATGTGATCTTTTTCCATAATTATTTGAGCTCAGTCTAAAGCTATAACCAATATACTTTTATTCAAACTTACACAGAATGCAAAATGGAAAAGCACATTTTCTATTTCACTGTTGTGCCCTTAGCTAAGCCCATATGACAGTGTTAAATAGATAATAATTGCAAACTTGGAAATTTGGGGAATACATATTTCCTTTTTAAAAAACTGTTTTTCATTCAGCCACTCATATATTTTATTTCATAGCATTCATTATAATTGTACAGTGCCACTATTTACAACATCTTATTGAAACCTCTTTGTATCATCATCCTCCTTTTCTCTTCATTGTACTTATCTATTCGCTGATATCTCTCATTCTCCCTCTCATGCAGGCCTACCCTCCCACAATTTTTTTCATCTGTAAGTAAACACTTTTCTTAGTCTCTTTTTTCCCCTTCCCCTAGTCTGACCAGTTATGTATATCCTGTTCCAGGTTGTTAATTGCAATAAGCATAATATATGATCATCCATTCATTTCAGATTGACCTATTGAATTATACCATTCTTCT